GAGAAGTGAGGGGGAGGGGCACTACACCTACTGGCTGGGCCACATACCTCTTCAGCCCCTTGGGGAAATACAACATATTAGAATAATACGTGCAAATTCATGCTTATAGCAGCCCAGCTCATTATAGTTAAATCTTAGAAGCAGTTTATATGACCATCAACAGATGAATGATAAAAAAAATGTGGCATTTATACACAACGGAGTACTACTCTGCTATAAAGAAAACATTTAAATCAATTGTAGGAAAATGGATGTATCTTGTGATCATATTGTTAAATAAGGGGAAGGGGACTGAGAGATGGGAGGGTAAGGTGGGGCGGGGAAGGGGATGTTAAAGAATTAAGATGTGTTATGAACACGTACCAACTCCTCATGAATGTAATCATTATGTACTGCAAATATGTACTAATAAAAATAAAAATTTTTTAAAAATGTGATCTCCCAAAACATTAGCTCTGTGCCACTTGATTTTTACACAATTTTAAAGCAACCATAATTTATAAAGTTTCAAAATGAAACATTAAGTTTTAGAAGAGAAGAAATGTGCTTTAAAGTACTGGTAGAGTGAAAGGACACAATGACTAAATGGAAAACTGGTTATAAGTGTGTTTGGTTCAGCTTGCTTCTAATACCATTTATACATTACCTTGATGTTGTACTCTGTTTATTTATTTTTTGGTACCAGGGATCGAACTCTGGACCTTGTGCTTGCAAGGCAAGCTCGGTGCCATTGAGCTAAATTCCTGGCCCTGTACTCTGTTTAATCAGGTTTCATTCGTTTTAGTTTCTATAGTAATTATTTTTACTCTGATTATACTTCCTTTTGAGACAAATCCTTGACTCTAAGATTAAAATGCATGCATGTACAAAGAAAATTATTTGTACAATCTATTTAATTAAATATATTTATCTACAGTAGCCCTTTAAAAATATGGATGAGAACCTCTGGCTATTAAGGAGTGTAATGGTGCCTACTAAATCCAACATGCTCTCTTTCTCCTTTACACTGTTTGGAAAAAGGTACCATTGGTATCCACTGTGCTAAAAGGTAGAAATCTGAAACTGTAAATGATATCTGAGTACTTAACGAAAAGCATAAATAAGTCAAATTCCTTACTGAAAAAAAATTTCAAAAGGGATCTCAACAAAATTCAACTTTTCTCAGAATATAGCATCTAGTGACTCACCAACAATATCAAGTTGGGTTTCTTCATCCTCTTCTCTTTTTCTCTTCTTTTCTTTCTTTTTCTTCTTACTACAGGAGAAAATTATATACTGATATATTGATTTGTATGTTAAATATCACAATATGGAAGCAGAGAAGTCTTTGAAGCTGTACAATGATTTATAAGCTTCTGGTTTTTATACATGTATTCATAACAAGCAAATCCTCACAGGTACATGTATGATAGAAAGCAGAGTGGGTGCCAGAAACTGGAGAAGGGAAAAAGAGGTAAGAGGTTTATTTTGGGGGTGTTGAAAATGCTAAACAGTGGTGACTCTCATGAGTTATCTTAAAAAACTACTGAATTGTACATTTCAAATGAAGAATTTTGCAGCATATGAAAATTACATTTAAAACATATGGAAAAAAGTTAATATGCAAAATAATTCATGACACAGAAAGTGCTACATAGAAATTATGATGGATAGTTATACCAAAATGCTTGGATTTTAATCAGAAAGTATGTTTTCAGAAGGAAATTAGCCAGGCATGATGGCACAAGCCTGTAATTCCAGTACTCTGGAGGCCATGGCAGGAGTTTGAGGCCAGCCTGAGCTACATAGCGATACCCTGTCAAAAAAAAAAGCCAGAGGCAAACTCTCTTCTTCTCCCTGTTAATTCAGAGAGTAAACGTTTCAGACCAGACCCTTAGCAATTCTCAAAAGCAGTGCCTTCTTAGCTCTTTCACACACTTTCCATCTCACCTAAAAGTGTCCCCAGCTCTGTTTATCATTGAAACCGGAAAGAAATGCTCAATATTTGCATAAAGAGTTAATCACGGACAAATCTATCGGTTCAAAAAAGATGTGAGCATATGAATGGACAGGTATATTTACCTAAGGCGTTCACAGTTACACATCACCACTGCTATCTCCTCCTTCCTTTGGCTTGATTTTCTGGCACACCTATTATCACACTTACTGCCTCTTTAATATATCAACGAGCACATGGAAACAATTATCTGAGCTCTTACTAAATGAATAGAACTTAAAATTTTTAACCAATCTGGCACAGACCCAAACTTAGTAATTGCTGGGGTCAATATGTACCACATCCCTACAAAAGCCCTTATGTGTCTTTAACCACCAAGTGATTCAGCTCAGTTCCAGCCTTCATGTTACGTCGGAAAAAAATTAAGATTTTTTTTTTTTGAGAGACAATGGTGAAAAGGATTTTCGCTAATAAGAGGCTGTCATTACGGCCTACGCGATCAGAATAAAGTAGACCCGTCAAGCAGAAGTCGGCGGGAAGACTCAGGGATCCAAACGCGCAGCTCCTGGGCTACTGGTTCCCTTCCCATCTGTCCTCTCCCTCTTCCGGACGAGTCAGCTCGGACTGGGCTCTGCAGCCTTTCTGCCAGCTCTGCACCGGTGTCGCGAACGGAGGGGTCGCAGCCTCTCTACATCCGGTACACAGGCCAGGCCAGCGGGCCAGAAAGCCAAAAGAACAGAGCTCCGCTGCTTCTACGGAGCCGCAGGCAGCGCAGGCACGACAGAAGGAACAGAAGAGTCTCCCACTAGAGCTTCGGGTCTCACCTTTTGGCTTTCGTTCCCTTGAGCACAAGTTTGGTGGACTTTACGTACGAGTATTCGGCCATGGTTCTGACGAAACTTCTAAACGGAGGGGAGAAACAAACGTGAATTCGAAGAAAACACTACGCAAGAACAGTCTCAGAAGCCCTAGGCCTTTTTCAAACACCAAGAGCCTCAAGATACCGATTCCATTTCCTGTTTACGCGCGCGCGGGGGGTGGGACTACGGCAGCTGCGGTGGGTCTAACTATATCAGCGTTCATTTGTTCCCTCCTGACAAACTCCCGGAAGCTATGGCTTTTTCAAGGAAGAAGCCGGGTCGGATGCGCCCTCTGGTGGAATCAGGGGTTCTAATAGCTGTGACTGGCAGCTCCTGACCCTGGTGAGGCAGCCTAATCCTAAATTGTTCTGTCCCAGAACTAGGCCACGATTTAAAGAGCCAGAGAGTGACATGATTTAATCAGCTATCCCAACGTTTGTCTGGAGTGGACCAGGCCTGATAGCTGAGAACAGCCAGTGCTGGGCCCGGACGTGGCGTCCAGGGCCGCTGGAGAAGTTGGTAGCTGACCTCTGCCATCTGTCAGACCTGTGGCCTCTTTACAAGGCATTTCAACTCCATAAACATTTCTTGTATTGTTTCATTAGGTTAAGATGAGTGATGGACAGGGAATAGTTAGGGAATAATATAAAATGTAATCAAGTGCCACATTTTGGCTGCAAGAATCAAGTGCTGTAGGAATTTGATAGTGAGATGGGAGCACGGCATGGAGGATTAATCTGAGCAATCTTTCTGCAGTCTTTCTGGAGCTTGAGAGAGGCACTTTACCTCGTTTTTGTAATTCTCCTTCCAAACCACCCTCTATACAGCTGACTGTGTGAGCTCTGTAAAAGCAATTACTAATTTTAACCAATCCTGCTAAATGAAATGTGAAATTTTTCAGAACCAAAATGGAGTTGCTTCTATTTTTTTTTATCCTTTTATTGGTACATTGTAGGTGTACAATATAATGACATTCATCATTGGAGATACGCACCTTTACATACTCTCTTGGTTCTTATTTTTCCCCCCTACCCTGCCCTCCCTTGAGCCCCTCCATCCCTCCCTATTTACAAAGACTTTGTTTCCATTTTTTCATTTTCTCATATTAATTCCATTCCCTTCTTTCCCTTCTGACTATTCTTAACAACAACAAAGTAAATGCAGTCAGGAAGTTATGAAAGAAGGATTCTCATGCATAATTGCCTGATGATAATTGTCACAGAAGACTTGGAGAGAACCATAGTCTTGCACAGATTATATAGTCTTGCAACTTTATATAAAAAGTACTTGCACAAGAACATCTACCCAGGAAGTGTCTGGTAAAACCCAGACTGATGCCACTCTGGTTATTAATCAGTATGGTCAAGGATCGTGGTTTCTTTATATTGGATGTCATCCTCATTTTTTGTCTTTAAAAACTTTCCCTTGCCTCACATACTTTGAATATCCCCACAATTTACTGTGGCATTTGTTTTCCCATCACAATGCTGTACTATTCTCAAATAAGTATTATTCTTTGGAGAACCACTGATTGTTTTTTGTATATTGGTATTCTACATAAAATCTAGCAAAGGCAGCCCATAACTGGGGGGGGGGCAGCAAGAGAGGAAATCCTAGCATTGGCCTCTATTCTCAATAATTAACCCCTGTCATTTTAGTTCCAGTTACAATGAATTATTAGAAATGTTTTCATGCTCTGTTCTTGCTTCTGCTGCTTGAGATGCTCTCCTTGATACTATTTCTAGTCTTCTCTTGCCATTTTTCACCCTTTAAGATAAACTCAGGTTTAATTTCTTACAAAAATCCATCTATGAAGGAACTCCTGTACTTCCTCAAATATCCTGTATTTCTAATTGTGCTATCACTTGATTGTTCACATTTTTAGAACAGGAACCTGAGTTTCTCCATGCTTGTTTCACTTGTCTCCTATGCAGTGCCTATTTTGGAGTACACACAGCATAAATGTCTATTAAAGTATTAAGTTTTAATGGATGAGGTTAAGCCTCAGCATAGTGGAGAGAACAGGCTATTTGGGTGTGTGACTTGGAAGGATCCACTAGTAAAAACATGGAGAAAAACTGTTTGGGTCAGGAATACCATGTAATGAAGACTACAGGAAGTGAATTCCTCCTTTATTCATCCACCATCTCTGTATAAGCCACTGTATTTGGGGCATATCAAAGATAAACTAAGTGCCTGATGAGCAAATAACATGTGCAAAGTAGCAGTTTAATCTACAAACTAAGAATAGCTTCTTTGTCAGACTGCTTAGGTAGACAAACCTTGCTCTCTATAAGATGGATGATGTCAGGCAAGTTATTTAACCTCTGTATATCTAAATTTCTTCAACTATGTAATGGGATGATACCCCAATGAATATAGGAACGCCCTTTTAAAAGTGCCTAATTAAGCTTTGCGCAGTGGCAGTATCATAGCCAATGAGGTTTATCTGAGGTGGTTATTGCTAATTAAAAGTGCCTAATAGAGCTGGGCATGGTGGCGCACACCTGTGAACCCAGCACTTGGGAGGCTGAGGCAGGAGGATCACTGTGAGTTCGAGGCCAGCCTGGGCTACATAGTGAGTTCAAGGCCACTCTGAACTATACAGTGAGACCCTGTCTCAAAAAAAAAAGTGCCTAATAAACAGTAAGTGTATCATATATATGTTACATATTATTATTGTTTGAATCTTTATGAAACTAGTGTTAAAAGCTTGGTACCTATCTGACAGCAGTAAGGTCCAGTTGGAGGAAATATGTCACTGGGAACATGCTTTTAAATGGTATATTTTGTCCCTGTCTGCTGTTGCCCCCACCCTTGGTGGCCACGAGGTGAGTGGCTTTGCTTCACCCAAAGTTCTCTACCGTGATGTTCTTTCTCACCACAGACCCAGAACTAGTGGATCCAAGTGACCATGGTCTGAAACCTCTGAAATTATTAGCTAAAATGAACCTTCACTCCTTTAACTGATTTCTCAGGTATTTTGTCAAAGAGATGGAAAACTACCTAAAATGTCCATTATTCTTAAATGTTAAATTCCTTTGAGAAAGGTACAAAGAAAATGTTATAGCAGGATATGATGGCAACATATTGCAAATTCAAAGGAGTACATGCTAAAGTCTCTTTCTACAGATCAGAAGAAGCTTAATGTATTCAAAGTGGCACCTGAAAATGTTCTCTAATAAAGAGGATTTTGACAGATGGAGAAGAGGGGACAATAGTAGTGTCTTAGTCCTATTTTCTGTTGCTGTTAAACACTGAGGCTTGGTAACTTATAATATGAAAAGTTATTCTTTACTCACAGTTTTGGTGAATGAAAGTCCAAGACAGGGTGGTCCCATCCATTCAGCCTCAGGTGATTTTTACAAGAAGGTTGGGAGAGATTCTTAAATTCATGATCCCTAGTGGGATGCTTGAATCAGAATGGGTCCATCTCAAACCTAATCTAGAAAACGAAACCATCACAAATAATTTATAGGTTAGAGTCCTTTCCCACATTATAATATTTTCCCTATATTCCCAATTCTTTCCTATCTCTTAGACCATAGTAATCCACAGGCCATGATGAAAATTTCCAAGAGTCATTACCAAATGAAATAGGTGAGATGCTGTTCATGTAGGCTTTTCAGTGTTGTGACAAAAACCTGCATTCCTCAATTATTATGGAGTTAGCAATTCTATCTATTGAATGGTATGAGATATGGAATGCTTATAATCTACAGAGTAAGTTGTCTTAGTTACTTTTCTTGTTGCTGAGACAAAACACCCAACACCCAAAGTTAAAGGAGGAAAGGTTTATTTGGCTCACAGTTTGTAGAGGTTTCAGTCCATAGCTGGCTTCAAGGCAGGGTGGCATGGGACAGGACAGCAGAGTAATGAAGTATCAAAGAAGCATCAAGGGACAAGCAACAAACGATTAGCAACCAGTGAACACATTATCCCTCTTTCTGTCCCTTATAATTTATCCAGGCTGCCCACCCTTAGTGGGGGTAGCACTCATACCCAGGGTGGGGCACCCTTAATCCTATGCAGGACTATGGCAAACCACTCAGTGGACTAATTTAGTAAGCACACACTCTTAATCCCAGCATCACACACTCTAGAGATCCAGCCACTTCTGAAGAGGCCCCACCTATGACCACATGAGGCTTTGAAGGGACATCTAGACACAAGCTCAGTATGTGTCAGCTGTGATCACTGCTAACATCATTATTTGTATTTGTCACACAGAAAACTGAAACCAAGATAATAGATTGATGTTCTGAAGGAATGCATGTGGAGAGACTAGTTGAAGAACTAAACCATACAACATGTCCATGGTAAAGGATAGAAAGAGGAAGACAGGAACCAAAAGAGAGAAGATAGAAAAGGAAGAAAAGACATGGATTAGAGTAAAACTATAGAAATTGAAACGAAAAAGAATGCCTGTAAAGAGTAATGACATTTAATATTGTAGAAGCTCAGGAGAACAGGATGCAAGGAAGGCAAAGATGTTGACACAATCTTTGGGGAAGCATTTTCGGTACAGCAGGAGAGAGGGGAGTCAGCTTGAAGT